GAAGTCATACCCCAACCCCACTTGCGCACTTCTTTCTCCCACTCCCTGTGTGCCACTGCTGTATTGCACTCTAAGTTTCTTTTCCTTTTCTTCAGTGGAGCAGCGTTAGTGCGGCTTCATTAGGCTGTACACCATGGATGCAGCTCGTTCCAGGCCCTGGGTTTGATGATCATGTTGATTCTGGGATGCGAGGACAGAGAAATTATCGAATGTTTGCTTGGGTCTCTCCTTCTTACCCTCCAAAAATGGGAAACCATTGATATGTTTTCAAAAAAGATCAGAGAAGAGGATATGAATGTAGTTCTTTTATATAAAGGGAATAAAACGGGTGCTGTGATAAGGACAACATTTTATAAATGTTGGCTGGTACTGATTTGAATGTTTGAGTAGTTAGATTTCGTTCAAACACAAAAGCAAGAAAACTACAGCTCAAACTATGTGCACTCATTTTACCAATTAGAGTTTGTTTTTAATTTTATATTATAGTTACTCTGTGCTATAGGAAAATAACAGTTTAAAATGTATTTCCTCCAGTGAATTAGGAAGGGAATTTTAATTGTTTCTGTTCGTTTTGTAATTTTAATGAAAATAATTTTGGCTGTGGAACTATTAAGGGTGACACTTCTGATATTAGAGTAAACATTTTCCCATTGAGGACTGGCTTTATTACCAGGCAGATATGATAGGTGGGAGAATAAATGTTTCTCCCTTAAGAAAACCCATACATTCCTACGTACAAACCACCTCTCTAAAGAGTATTTTCCTCTAACTTTCATCCCTTTGAGACTTAAGTTTCGGTCCTTGTAAAAAGACAGAATTGCTTTGGTTAAAGCAACCACTCTGTAGCTCTCAGTTATGAAGACTGCACCGATGTGATCCATTTCTGGAAAGTGGCGTTAGCTCAAAGAGAACATAGAAACAGGAAACAATGCGGCGTCAAGAGAGGAGTGCTAACCACATGTGGGTTGAGCTGAAGGGAAGGGGAAGCATATCGATCTCAGAGAAATTTGGCAGCAAAGCCATCTTCTCAGTTCCCACCATTCCTCCAAAGATCAGTAGTGGCCCCTCTATCTGACAGTCATCTTTGACGCCACACAAGGGCACATGTTCGTTTTGGGTAAGTGGCATGCTAAAAAGTTCCAAGCGTGCAAGAGGGGGGGTCTATACTTTCCGTACAGATAACTGTCCCCATCGCAATCGGGCTATTCTTTCTGATCCTCAGTCCCTTCCGCAAGTCTGTTTTGCCCTTGGCCTTTGTTTTCTTCTCATCTTTAACTTCTGCACCCAGGAGCTCTTTCACTATCTCCGTGAAGACGTCCTTCTTGCCTGGAGGAATCACAGTGAATTCTAGGGTGGCGCTTGTGTTTGCTTGGGCCACCAATTCATAGCAGCCTCATCTACAATAGAACAAAACACTGCCTGGTCCTGTGCCATCTTCTTAATTACTGTTGGGTTTGAGTCCATTGTTGCAGCCGCTGTGCCAGGGTAGCAGCCTGAAATCTCTGGCAAGTCCTTTCTGGTAGCATATCTAGTGTTGCAATGCCACCTTGGCTTTTCAGGACGCAGTCATGGTATATAAAGCTATGAAAAAACGTCACCTTCTCTTCTTTGCAATGATGCATTTGAGGCTAAGCTTGACTATTATTGACATTTGGAATGAAATCATGGTTGGTTGTAGGCCCAGGCCTGTGCAACATGCAAGGTTTAGTGGCATCTCAGGGCTCGCTGCCCACTCCAAACAAAACAAAACAAACCTCACTGTCAGAGTCAATTCCAATGCATAGTGACTCTATAGGATGGGCTAGAACTGCCCCTGTGGGTTTCCAAGATTGTAACTCTACACGAGTAGAAAGCCGTATCTTTCTCCCATAGAATCGTTGGTGGTTTCGAATTGCCGACTTTGTGGCTAGCAGCCCAACATGTAAACACCGTACCACCAAGCGTCTTTTCTCTAAGCACTCACTTTCCTTGCTATTCAGTCAGTGCTGACTCACAGTGGCCCTCTGACTCATCGGGAAGGATAGGGTAGACTGCACTTGTGAGTTTCTGAAACTGTAACTGTTGGGAGGCATAGAGTGTCCATCTGTCTCCTGCGGAGCCCCTGGTGGTTCCACAGTAGACTGTGGATCAGGCCCCACGCGTAGCCACTGTCTCTACCCGCTAGAGACCAGCGGAATCTCGCAGTCGTGATAACCAAAAAATACCTCCACGCATTAGGTTAAATGCTGGAGGAAATTTAGAGAGAGGGTAAGTGGAAAGTTTGAGAAAGAAGGTTGGTCCCTCTAACTCACTGGTAAGAGGGAAGAGCTGAACAATACAGTTGCAGAACATGAAGTAACAGGTGAGAGTCAATGACGTGGCATATAGAGTAAAATCTGTATTAGAGTGGGCCCAAAAGTCATGTTCTTGCTCCCGAAGACCGTTCTAGAGTCCTTACAGCCCAAGTGGCTAAGTGAAAGGCAATGCACAGACCAGGGCTGTAGCCCAGCAAGCCATTTTCAGTTGATTATGGAGAGAAGGGCATAGGATGCCTAGTGGGGCTAATCAAGGGCAATGCAGCAGCGAGGAATTACTAAACCCAAATGAAGGTTGAACATGATGGTGGGACAAGAGGAAAGTAAGAGGAAATAGAGGAAAGAACCAGGAGGCAAAGGACATTTATAGAGGTCTAAGTACAGGCATGTACATAGGTAAATTATATATATGTTTAAATTATATGTAAATATGTAAATTATATATATAAAATGAGAGGGGAATAGAACTATGTACTCATATCTATATGTTAAGAATTAGGTTGCAGATGGACATTGGGCCTCGACTGAGTACTCCCTCAACACAAAAACACTTTGTTCTAACAATCCAGCATTCTGTGATGCTGACCTTCCCGACACAATCACTGAAGACAAAATAGGTGCATAAGCAAATGTGGTGAAGAAAGCTGCTGGTGCCCGTCTATCAAAAGATATAGCTTCTGGGGTCTTAAAGGTTTGAAGATAAGTGGCCATTTGGCTGAGAAGCAACAAAGCCCACATGGAAGAAGCACACCAGCCTGTGTGATCATGAGGTATTGATGGGATCAAGTATCAGGCATCTAAGACCCACAACAAAACCATACCCAATGTGAATGAGGCAAGGGGGCATGGAGTGGAGACCCAATGCCCATCTGTAGACAACTGGATATCCCCTCACAGAGGAGTCACAGGAAGAGATGAGCCAGTCAGGGTACAGTAAAGCACTGATGAAACACACAACTTTCCTTTAGTTCTTTGGTGCTTCCTTCCCCCCACTGACATGACCTCAATTCTACCTTACAAATTGGAATAGACCAGAACATGCACACTGCTACAGATAAGAGCCTGAAACACAGGGAATCCAAGATAGATAAACCCCTCAGGGCCAACAATGAGAGTAGAGATACCAGGAGGCTTAGGGGAGGGTGGGGGGAGAAGGGGGGAATTGATCACAACCTCTAACCCTCTCCCAGGGGGACAAACAATGGAAAAGTGGGTGAGGGGTGATGGAGGACAATGTAAAATATGAAAATAATAATCTATAACTTATCAAGGGTTCATGAGGGAGGGCAGGCTGGGGAAGGAGGGGGAAGAAATGGGGAGCTGATATCAGAGAATGCTTTGAAAATGATTATGGCAGCATATGTGCAAATGTGCTTGACACACTGGATGAATGTATGGACTGTGATAAGAGATGTAAGAGCCCCTAATAAAAGTGTTAAAAAAAAAAAGAAGAAGGAACCCCTAGAGTACAGTTGTGTTTACTGCTGGACTAGAAAACAACAACAGCGACCACCTTCGAGCAGTGACCTTTCATTTTGAAAACAGTTTTGTGGGGGGAGGGGCTGGAGGATCCAGTGAGACTACTGAGCGATAACTAGGTTTCTATGTGAGACAGAACTCAGAACTGCTTCTCAAGGGGCCTTGGTATGGTGGCTTATTGAGATTCTTGGCTTTTTTAATAAGACACCTGGGGACTGTCTTCAACAGCCTTACCCTGGAACCGTCTGTTCAAATTGTACAGGGTTGATCTGTATTGGCAAGTTTGATTCTCATGGGCATTTAGCTGTACTAGGATTTCCACCTCTCCTTGATGCCCCTGTGCCATAACTGGAAGTTATCAGCTTAACTCTAGGCCAGTGAAGCCATATGGATACTGGCTCCTCTCAATCACTGCTCTAGTCCAGGGGACTTCTACTCAGAGAAATGAGACAGCCATCCCAGGAGATCAGTTCCTGGGTGAGACTCTCATAATGCAAATTGCAGTGATCTCTCTGAACATATGTCACAGAATTCATGTGGTCTGGACATTGAATGTCAGATGCTTCCGTTTATATACCTTTTTCTAGGTAAGGAGGCAGAATCAAGAACAATACCTTATCCAAAATGTGCCTTGCATATAGTAGAGTCTAATAAATGTGTTGCTTATGTGATTACTTTGTGTTTATTTTTATTTGTTTTGACCAGTTAAAATATAATAGAGTCTCTTTGAAAACCTAATTTTTAAAATATGGTTGTGACAAGGAAAACCCAAAAGTCTATTGGACCATCACATTTTTCTAGGAATGAGAAAAATGTATGGTATTTATGCTGTTTAAAAGACCAAATGGTTTGTAAAATTTGGTCCCCAAAGCGTTTGGATTCTGGTGCTAAGGAATAATTCATTTGTTCAGCTTAGATTTTAATTCAATTTGCTTTATTTGTTCATGTATTATGTTTTTTCTTCCTCATGAAAGCAATTTTTATATAGATGTTTGATTGGTGGTTAGTGGTTTTATCTAAGCACAAATCCCTCCCCCATGGTGAAATCAAAATAGAGGTGCTCTGTGGTTAGTTTTTCATAAGTACTCACCAGATGCTGCAGACATTTACACGAGCATCATTGTTTCATTTCAAACCTGCAAGGCAGGGTTTCGAAACACCTGTGTGCTGGGTGTCCTCTTCCGATGCACTCTTGTCAACGCCATGTTTTTTCTGTTCTGTTTGCAGGTCGCATGTGCCAATTTAACAAACGGTGGAAAGTCCGAACTGCTCCAGTCAGGAAGCAGCAAATCCACACTGAAGCACATATGGACAGAAAGCAGCAAAGACCTGTCTATCAGCCGCCTCCTGTCACAGGCTTTCCGTGGCAAAGAAAATGATACCGATTTGGACCTGCGATACGACACCCCAGAACCTTATTCTGAGCAAGACCTCTGGGACTGGCTGAGGAACTCCACAGACCTCCATGAGCCTCGGCCCAGGGCCAAGAGAAGGCCCATTGTTAAGACGGGCAAGTTCAAGAAAATGTTTGGCTGGGGTGATTTTCATTCCAACATCAAAACAGTGAAGCTTAACCTGTTGATAACCGGGAAGATCGTAGATCATGGCAATGGGACATTTAGTGTCTATTTCAGGCATAATTCCACTGGTCAAGGGAATGTGTCGGTCAGCTTGGTGCCCCCGACGAAAATAGTGGAATTCGACTTGGCACAACAAACCGTGATTGATGCCAAAGATTCCAAGTCCTTCAACTGTCGCATTGAGTATGAAAAGGTAGACAAGGCTACCAAGAACACGCTCTGCAACTATGACCCTTCCAAAACCTGTTACCAGGAACAGACCCAGAGTCACGTGTCCTGGCTCTGCTCCAAGCCCTTCAAGGTGATCTGTATTTACATTTCCTTTTATAGCACCGATTACAAACTCGTTCAGAAAGTGTGCCCGGACTACAACTACCACAGCGACACACCTTACTTCCCCTCGGGATGAGCACGGACACGGGGGTGAGACTGAAGCCGGAGCGATCGCAGGTCATTTGACAGGGCTGTTACCTCACAGAAGAAGATCACATCTGTTGCCTGGAATGTGTCTACACTGCTGCTCTCGTCAGCGGGCTGCAAATCCGCTAGTGGAAAACAACCCGATGTCATTTCTGCCCAGTTAGCTTCATCCCTCAGCCTAGCTGTAAATCACCCTAGAGTTGAAAGCCCCACTTGAAGACGTGTTCTCTCACACAGACGCACACAGTCATACCCATTTCAGCTTGCATCTATCATGATTCCTGTTGAGAGGGCTTTCATTGTCTGACTCATAATGATTCAGGATAAACTATCATCAAGCAAAAGGATTAACTAGACAGAGAATGCTTTCTAACACTTGCTGTTATGGAAATCTCTTTTACAGTCATGAGTACATGCCAATCACTGATCCCCTCTCATGCATTCCCACCGCTTGGAGTAGCCGTCTTGGTAAATACTACTGTAGGAGTATATGCTTGTTAAAATGGAAAAAAAAATGTGTCTTTAGATCTCTGTATTCTTTATTTTATGAACACAACAAAGTATAGTAACTTCTTTCCAGCATACAGTAGTCACATTCAAGGGAATACAAGATGGCTCTTTTTTTCTATGGAGGGAGCCCTTTCTCAGTAAAGACGAGCAAACATTTGGAATTTACATGTGGGCAGACATTGGGATTACAGCGTTCATTACCAATCATTGGACTTTTGTGAAGCTGGGACCAGCTGAGGCGGCATAAGACAAGTTCTGATCATTGTGTAAGAATGAAAATACCTGGCAGACACCATGTAAGTTAGAAGTGTCTGTCTTATCTTTACTACTCATATTGTAACAAATTCAATATCCTAGTCTTCATTTGTATGAATGGTTTGTATTGTATATAGTTGAACCAAGTGTTATTTGAGCTGCTTATTAATATTAACTTGTACTTGTCTATCTGCTTGTTATTGGTTAAAAAAGAAAACAAGGACATGAGGAATCCATTTTATCAATGTAGCTGTGAACTCCATTGAAAAGACAAACTTAATGTACAAAGCATTTATTCAGCTCAAGTATTGTTGAAAGCTATACATATAATACATTACAGTCTGTCTGTATTTAGATATTTTATTTCTGGATCAACATGAAATGTACATAAAAATAAAGCACTTAAAGTTGAATTTCAATATGTACTTGTGTAAGATGGTGATTTAAATGGTTCTGGAAGAAGAATGTGTTGGCATACTGTCATAACTTAACAGCTCGTATTTGTAAGTTTGTACCAAACCCAAACCCACTGCCTTAGAGTCCTCTTGAATGTGTAGCATCCCATTAAGGCAAAGGAGAACTCCCGTAGGGTTTCCAAGTGGGTGAATGTGCCACAGCAGCAGACTGCCTCCTCTTCCTGCCCACAGGAATTGGTGAGTCTTTCATTCTGCAATCCAGGGCTCACGATTACGCCACCAGCTCGCCTCCTCGCTTTCCATTCAAACCGGTTAGTTTTCCAGTCAAAACAGTATAAGAGATTCAATCTCTAATCTTGCAAACAGTGGTGGCATACTACATAACACACACACACACACACACACACACACACACACACGTTTTATAACAATTACTCAAAAATTCTGGAAAAGCAACTTCATGAATATAAGCAAAAACTGAAGTATCCTAAAATAATTATATCTTGTGGTTGTTCCTGAATAGAAGATTTATTTAATAAGGGGTTTGAGGGGAGATTACTATTTTTTCCTTTAAAATAAAGTCAAGATAATCACAAAATGTGGCTGACGTTTTCTGATCTGCTGCAATGATTCACCAAGGAAATGGAGATGGCCGTGGCGGGCTTCAACATCAAATTTGCCTTTATTAGATGGGGTCGGTTTATCTGCTCAGCATTACTTATGAACATTAATTTGTATAGCACACTTTTCTTATACTTGAAAAATAACAAGAAGAAGAAATTTAAAAAAGAAGAGCTACATAACAAATTTTGTGTGGGGAATATGAAGACTATTAAGAATTAACTAATGAGGCCAAATTAAGAAGCCCATTCCAGTCTCATATTCCCTTCACTGTGTTTAGGAGAAATGCATGTAGAAAATAATACATGTGTGTGTATATATGTGTATATATATTTATGTATTTGTATATGAAAGCTATATAGGAATAATATATATACTGAAACATACACAAAGGAAACAAAAAATCTGATTTCTAAATTCTAGAATGAGAATTCAATACTTGATTAAAGAGATTCTTCAACTGCAAATCAAAGGCATATCTTTTGGTTAAATGTCCTTCTTTCAAAATCCTCCCATAATTCTAGAAAATCTTTTAGCTGAATATATTAATGACTTTTCTGTGGAATTTAGAAACTAATGTTAGACCGGATGCTTTGTGGCACATCAAGTTAAAAGAGCTTCGTGAATTCCAGTTGCTGGCATGCCCCAAAGAAATCCTGCCAGCTGTGGTTTATTTATCCGCGTGATCACTGAGGACTTAGTTAGCTTTTGACAAACAGAGAAGGGGAAAATCAATTATATTTTTAGAAGCACTTGATCTGCGAACTGTGATTTCTTTATGTGATCAGATGCCTTTTTTAATCCAACATTCAGGATCAGAAGAAAACATGCTTCCAACTCCACCACTTCTCAGGCCTCTGCTCTCTAATCTTTCCATGAAATGTTGCTTTTACATTAAAAAAATACACGACATAATTACAAATCTAACGTTCAATGCATCATTCTTTGCAACAATTTTTCTTTGTAAGAAAAGTAAAATAAGAAAATGTGTAGTAGATATTGAACAAGAATTTTAATTCTTCTTAATCCAAACTTTCAGAATTGTATCAGTACACACTTCACTAAAATTTCTATATAATCAGAGCCTCAATCTGTCATATGGGAAAATTATGATGGAGAACTTAAATTACCCAAAGATATCACATCAATATGTGCTCATTGTTCCCTGTTTCAGACAAGAATGTGGAGATGTTGATGAAGATCGATGTGAAGAAAATAGGAAGATTCAAATGTTAAGGTTAAAATTTTTATTAGGCCAATATGTTACTTTAATAAACAAGTTTTAATAATGCTAAAATATACTTAAGTTATTTGGGGATAAAAACTTAAAGCTGGACCAGGAAACAACCTTATCCTGAATCTAAAATAATCCCCAACTTAGACCAGGTGTGGAAAAAAGAGCCTTCCATGTGTCGGCAGATAGCAGCTGAGGCAATCATAGGTTTGCCATCGCTCTGGTTCTTTTCTCAAATTGTCAGTAAATCAGATTTTCTCAAAGAAGATGCTTGATGCTTATTACTGATTGAAGATAAATTATATCTATGATATTTATGATAAAAACAATGAACGGTCCTGCTGCTGTTTCGACGGGGCATTTTTGAGCCATGGCTCGTGTGAGAATTTTGCTGCATAAGTGGAGGCAACATGCTGTTATGTTCTGGAAGTGACGGTTCTGTGAGCAACTGAAATACTTGTTATGTTTAAAACTGGACCTGAGAATATTCAAGTTCCTATATTTGAGCAATAAACTATAAGCCATGTCTTTGCACTGACTAGATGAAGAATTACGAGAAGCTTGACAAAGTGTTTTCTTTTTCCCATTTCCTGTTGCTTTCAAGCTAAGAAACAGCTTAACCAACATAAACAGCTCTTTGGAAAAGCAATTTGCATTTCCACCATCAACTTTGAATGCCAAATTTTAAACCAAAGCAAATTCAAAGGCTGTGTTTGTAAATCCATGAAAGACTTAGTTGATGTACCAGTTTCAGATGTTTATCTTTATTTATTCACCTATCTATTCTATATTTATTATTTATCTTTACCTTTTATTTAAATAAAATGCAAGTCAGTACACGTCTTCAAAATAAAAAAATTAAAAACCATTGATTTGCATAAAGGTGATTTCTATTTACCTAATGTGTAGATTAAAACTGTGGTACAGTAATAGCTTAATGCAATTGTGGAAACAGATTACAATGTTAGTCTTTCTCAAGACTCCCATGCATGTCAAAGAACTATGATTGGCCCTTTAAGTATTAAGAAAAATAATATGTCTTAATTTAAAATTAAGTGTGTCAATAAGTTTTATATCCTGTAATATATTAGAAATATTTTTACTATTATTTTTCTTTTACTAGCATGGAAAGAGCAGAAACTCCATAATGAGGGGTTCTACTTTCCACTTGTGCTGTGAGCAAGGTCAAGAGAAACAGTCTAGGGGACTACTAGATTAAAACTAGGGGACTCCTTAGTGCCGTATAACTGGCCAAGAGTCCCAAGTTTAACCAATCGCAATTTGCTGTGGCCACTAGCTGTCCATTCGTTGGCCAGAATAGTCTTATACACAACCGATTGAACTGTTTGGACCCATGGGGTTTTCCCTGGCTGCTGTTTGGAACTAAATCACCAAGCCTCTCATCCTAGTGCTTCTTCGGGAGTTCTGCTGAAAACGTCAGAATCACAGCATCAAACAAATCTCCACTTGCACACTGCTGGTTGTGTCACTTGAGGTGAATTGGCCAGAATGAACCTGGGTCACACATGGGACATGAAAAGTCTTCCACTGAGCCACCACTGCACTCCAATGGCACATTAACATGCTTAAACTTTGCATTTGTGGGAGTATACCTTTTGTCACTGATGGACTAGGAAATGGCTCCACAGACCCAAACTGTATTGGCTGCAGAAGGCTGCTAGACCGTCCATCAAGGCCTGCAGGGGGTTGTCATTGTCATTGCAGGCCCAGAATTGCTTCCTTCAGTGTCCAACCGATGCATTAGATTTATAGTTCTGTTTACCTCCTCATGGCATGCAGTGGCTGTCCAATTCCTAAACGCATGTCAGCACTCCAAACATTCCTGCTCATTCCTCATTCCCATTTCCTGTTGCTTTCAAGCTAAGAAACAGCTTACCCAACATAAACAGCTCTTTGGAAAAGCAATTTGCATTTCCACCATCATCTTTGAATGCCAAATTTTAAACCAAAGCGAATTCAAAATGCAAGTCAGTACACGTCTTCAAAATAAAAAATTAAAAACCATTGATTTGCATAAAGGTGATTTCTATTTACCTAATGTGTAGATTAAAACTGTGGCACAGTAATAGCTTGATACAATTGTGGAAACAGATTACAATGTTAAGTCTTTCTCAAGACTCGGATTCCTTCACTTAAACACAGGGGTAACTGTGACCATGGTGATCATCATTATTTAAAGACATACTGCAAGAAAGTTATTAGTATACAGGTATCACTGAGTAAGTTGTTTTCAAAATAAAATATATACTCTTGTTCCTGTTACTGTCAAACTTCATCTTGTCAATTTTCTAAAATTTAGTTTTCCCCAAAATTTAACCTTTTTTTTTTTTTTTTTGCATTTCATAAAGTCAAAAGCACAGAGAAGTGACATCATCTAAGTAGGGTGAAGAGTTCACACGCTCACCCATGAGTAAGGGGTATACATTCATATTAAGGGTTGATGCTCCTGAGAGAGTGAGGGCTACACCATTTCCTGTGTGTGTCACATGGATTCACACCTTTAAGCATCACAAAGCCACCAGGTAAGTGCTCATATTATATCCATGTTGCAATTAGGACATTGATGCTCTGAGACATTCTTTAACTGGTCTAAAGTGGTGTTATCTCTTAAGTGATAGAGCTAACATCTCCAGAGCCTGATGGTTTCACTGTCACTTGTTACTCTAGACTAATTTTCATGGGAAAGGATGAGGCACAAAATTAACACTTTCAATATAACCACAGCAAGTTTCATTGTGTGGAAAGAGATGAAGTCATTCATTCCAGTTATCATTTATTATCAATTAGCTGTGTTTCTTATACTTTTTCAGGATCTATCAGAAGCCTCTGGTAAATTCCAGTCCTGGCCCCAAACCAAAGCTGCAGGGAGCTTGCCCATGCCAGGATGACATTGTAGAAACCAGTGCCCTTCCCCAGGTCATTTGTGTGTGTGTGTGTGTGTGTGTGTGATATCATGTTTTATTTTGTCCAAAGGTATCTTTGCATTTGAGATGCATGAAAGTAATAAATTAGGAATGAACAGCAATCGTGTAATTCTGCATCACCCAGTCCTTTCATACAAAATTTTAAGGGAATACTAATATCATCTGTTTAGGAAACTTTCTAAAATGTGATTTCAGTCTTCCAT